GGTGTTATTAGGACCTGATCCACTAATTCAGAGACTTATCTTTGTGTGGCTTAGGATCCTTTAGTTTCACTCATGACCTTGGGGTATGCAGACCTGCATCAGTGAGCTCAACACTGTGTCAGCCTACTGGCACACACTGGCCTCACTCACTGTTATCTACATCCTTAGGAGCTATTGGCACCACGGAGAACAGGATGCTCAAGACCAGCATGTCAGTAATTTTCAGATGGAGACAAGTGCTACAAGATGCAAGCTGAGTTAAGTGTGTACACACAGAGATCTGCACTGGTTTAAATAAAATATTTTTATCCACAGATTTAGCTAAGCTRGAGCARTTGTGWTGGGGAAGGCTTCAGGCCTTAGATCCTTACCTTTGATTAACTTCAAATACTGCTCTCTTGTATCCAGAAAAGTTTCCTCAAACTGGAAAATGACAGAGAAAAGCATTGCACRCTTTATTTCCCACTGCTTTTTCTGTGAGTGACTGCACATAACCACMAGCAGAACCACCCAGAGAAGTGAAAGATAATGAGCTGGCTCTTCAGCAGGACTATTTGGCTGCACACACCTCCTGAGGAGGAGCAGAGGCCTAGATATCTTCCACCACAGTGCACTAATTCAAAATGAACCTACATGCAGGTAGGAACAGAGCGCGGACATCCGCAGGAAGAAGGGAGTGCCAAGGGGAGCACAAGCCAGCTCAGCTATTCYGAACACTACCCTTAAAACTCACRGTCAAAAACATCCTTCCCCTCATACCGGTAACTGTAAACAAATTATGACTGAAGGTGGTTCTGCACAGCTGGAGAACTCAGATTATTTAGGTGCCTTGAAAAAAATTCTCCCTTTCAACCAACTGCAGGGGATTGATAAAAGCTTTGTAAAACTCTTTAGCTCCCCTGAGTCTGTTGAGCTATTAAACAGGGGAGTGCCAAACRGTCATGCCAGTTGCACTGTCCAGAGGAATCTACCCAGCCTCTTACAGCCATTTATTCTCTGGGTGAACGCTGAGTGTGGTGAGAACATCAGTGTGGAGCAACGTGCTCTACGTTGACTCACCTCCACCCCAGCTGCTGCCAGCAGCCATCGGACCGGCTCCATTCGCCCTCTTCTGTTGAAGTAGACGAGCTTGGGCTTCCCAGACATGCTTCTATGTTTGTGGTTCCCTGAAAAAATACCAAGCAGAAAAGTGTATCTGGTGTAAATATCCTGAGAGGTCATGGAGAGCGAGGGAGGTGCTGGAGGACTAGAGGAGAGCCAAAATCACTCCAGTCTTCAAAAAGGGCAAGAAGAAGCCGTGAAATTACTCAGCCTCACATCCGTCCCTGGAAAGGTGATGGAACAGCTCATCCTAGCTAGCATCTGTAGGCATGTGAAGGAGAAGGAGGTGATCAGGAGTAGTCAGCATGGATTCACCAAGAGGAAGTCATGTCTGACGAACCTAATAGCCTTCTATGATGGGATGAATGGCCAGCTGGATGAGGGGAGAGCCGTGGATGTTGTTTACCTTGACTTCAGCAAGGGTTTTGACACCATCTCCCATAATATCCTCACAGGAAAGCTCCAGGAGTGTGGACCGGATGAGTGCATGGTGAGGTAGATTGAGAATTGCCTGGATGGCACAGCTCAGGGGCCGGGGAAGGGTTCTCCTGCCACCTTAAACAGGGACTTGTTTTCATTGGTGTTCATCACTCAGTACTGTTATTAAGTGGGCCTTATCTCTCCAGTTCAGGTCAAGATCTTACTGGTCCGCTTGTTTTAATGCAGACCTAACTTCAATAAAGTTAGGTCTGCAGAGTCAGTAGGCTGTAAATCCCTGCTACATTTTAGATACTGTTCCTGAAATTGGAAGGGGTCTTGAAATGGATTGACATCCTGTACAATGCATATACTGTGATGTGGCTCATGGTCCAAATAGAACTAGCTAAATATGCAAGTCAGCAGGCCTAGTAAAATTAATGTTTAGTATGTATTGCTGTCATAAGCTCTTATTCTTAAAGCCACAGCAGTACAAAGCTCTGAAACTTCATAGTGAGAGAGGTGAAAAAGATCTTGATATTTTTGCCTTRGTGTTTTTGGGAAGTAAGACATCTGATATTCTATGTCATCAAATCTGGTGTGATGTGGATTCTGTTACAAAAATTCAAAACCTACTGYACTTATCAACTAAGAATACCCTACAGTTCTGCTTTAGTTGTAAGATTCTCATGATGTCTTAAAGCTAAGCTTATTTATTTATTGTAGCTTGTCTATTTTTCACTGAATCTGCAGGAGTCAAGCTCAGGTGTGCAGGTCTGTGTTGCCCCTCTCCTTTCACATTCACCCAACAATATAATATGTTGAAATGTAAAATTTGAAGTGATGATTTAGAACGAAACCATCACCACCAGCAATAAAAAACATTTAAAAACTCTTTAAAGTCATCTTCTTGAATTTATCAGGAAACAAGAACGCTGAAATCATGGCGGGGAAACCTAAGCTGCACTATACCAAGGGAAGGGAGAAGATGGAGTCAATCTGATGGCTGTTGGCAGCAGCTGGGATTGAGGTTTGTACCTTTCTGTAAAATGATCGTGGTAACCTGAGTGTTCTCTTTAGGAAAGGTTTACAAGTCCATTTTGTGCTTAAGAGCTATTCACATGAACTGCTAGGGACTGAACCACAGGCCCAAGTCAGGGCTGACTTAGAGCTGAATACGGCTCTGCTTTTGTGTAAGTACGCAGAACTCGCCTGTAAATTGCTTCTGCTAACCTGCATGTAGGCTCATAAAGCTGTAACTTTTGTAGGCTCTCAGGCAAACTTTTTTGACCTTGAAGGGTTCTTTCCCACCCAAAGGCGGAGCTCTGGCCAGGTCCCAGTCCCAGATTGTGGGCCAGGACTCRACCAACCTTGACAGGGCCTCAAGTATAGTCCCACTGTTGGAGCAAGATGTGCTGGAACTTGTTGGCCACAAGCCCTGGGAAGGACAAGATAAGGCTGGATCATCCTGAACAAAGGGAGCTGTAGAAGGGAGTATTATTTCAAGGTTGTAGATAAACTTATTCTGTCTTAGGTTTGTGGATAAGACTTAGTTTGTTGCTCAGTWCTTTTTTATAACCTGCTTGTAGCTGTTTTTGCATTTAACCAATCAAGGAGTGCCTGATTTGAAGAAGCACCCAATCCGCGTGAAGACACGCTACCTTTTGATCTATATAAACATGTGTGTAACAACAATAAAGTTGACACTTTGCTTGCATCAAGCTATGTCCCGTCTCTCAATCGYGGCACCAGATGATAAGGAAAGTAGGACAAACCAGATATTACAACTAACACAGAAAATGCAAGTTTTGCTGATTGGGTTTTAAAAAAGCTAGACCCCCTTACATTGACTTTGGAGACCTCACTTACAGGTGGATACCCTGAATAAGACCTCCGAATTGCTGGGAAGGCTCTCCAAATCCTCACTGCAACAGGGGCTCCGCAACCACTGTGAATCTGGATGATAGTAACATATTTAAGCAATTGCTGATGTATCTTTTTCTTAATCACTATTCTCTTTCTCATATTGAAGTAGGTTAAGTGCATTACCTCACTTATTTTGTCCATAGTTCCAACCTGGTACATAGCAAGCTTATTGTTTCATTAAATGTATCATTTCATTTCCGTATTATTTGATATTAACGGTAAACATGACTGTTCTTTCCCTTGGTGTCTGGTTATTTCTGCTGCCCCCTGTAAATTGGCAAAACAGCACAGCAGCACATGTGCTTAGAGAGATGAGCACATCCCATGTTATGATTCAGAAGCAGAATGCCTTGGATTCAGTGATGCTGTGTTGCAAATTGTAGTGAGGATATTGTTCCAGCAACAGATTTTTCTTTACAAAGACAAACTTTGTTTTCAAAACATAGTTTCTACATATCGGGCTTAGATTGTTGCTGCAGTCCCAAGCTGTGCATCTCTTCAACTCACTGTGAATGGTCATTATGCAAAGTCCCATGTGTCCCCCATGAAGAACTTGAGAATATTTTCTCTACATAAAATGCTTTTCATCCTTGTAGTCAGGATCTGACTGGGGCAAATCAGCAGAGATGCCCTCAAACCACCAGAGCTGCTCATATTAATTGAAGAGCCACTCTGAGGAAACTTAATTTCCCCATTTGCTTTTGTTTGAATGTGGTGCTTTCATTTCTGAGGAGCTACTTTTTCTCCTTAGGAAATGAAAGGCCTTTTTCATGATGCTCACATGTGAAACCTTCTCCAATCTTACCCTACAGGGTGCCCCTGGCAATCAGGTATGAGGCCCTGAAGGAGATAGGGCAGTCAGTGGAGGGTGAGGGAGTGGGTCCCTCCCCTCCAAAAAAGGTGCTGCAGTCAGAAAGGCGAACTGCACAGGTTGTCACCATGGACAGGAGGCAGAATAGGAGGGTTATTTTTGTGGGTGATTCCCAGATTCAAGGAACAGAGGGACCGATTGCTAGACCTGACCCTTTCTCAAGAGAGGTCTGTTGTCTTCCTGGGGCCCGGATTAAGGATGTCACCAGACGACTTCCCAGACTGGTCTGACCCACGGACTGTTACCCCTTGATGGTCCTACATGTGGGTGCAGAGGAAGCGGCAACACATAGCCTGAGRGCAATCAAAAGAGACTTTAGACAGTTGGGGCAGATGATCAGAGACACAGGCGCGCAGGTCATCTTCTGTTTGATTCTTCCCARCGCTGCCAGCAATACAGATAGAAATCATAAGGTACAGTCCATTAACRTGTGGCACCAGAGCTGGTGTCATCGCCATAAGATTGGTAACAGGAAGTCTTACGTGGCACCAGGCATGATGGCACCCAATGGGGTCCATCTTTCTCAAAGAGGGAAGAGGGCCCTGGGTCAGGAGCTAGCTGGGCTCATCATGAGGGCTTTAAACTAGATTCGAGGAGGGAGAGGGGTATCCGTGGGGTGAGGCCGCACCTGCAGTACTGTGTGCAGTTCTGGGCTCCCCAGTATAAGAGGGATGAGGAGCTCCTAGAGAGCGCCCAGTGGAGAGCAACTAAGATAATWAAGGAAMTGGAACATCTCTCGTATGAGGAGAGACTGAGTGAACTGGGCCTGTTTTCTCTGGAGAAGAGAAGGGTGAGAGGGGATATGATTAACATGTATAAGTTCAGAAAGGAAGATTGCAGGGAAGAAGGGGACGAGCTCTTCTCATTAGTGGCCAGTGATAGGACAAGGGGAAACGGGCATAAGCTGAAACACAGCAAGTTCCATCTCCAGGTGAGGAGGAACTTCTTTACTGTGAGGGTGACAGAGCAGTGGAACAGGCTGCCCAGGGAGGTTGTGGACTCTCCTTCTCTGGAGGTCTTCAAAACCCGCCTGGATGCCACCCTGTGCCACATGCTGTAGGTGTCCCTGCTGGAGCAGGGAGGTTAGACTAGATGATCTCTAGAGGTCCCTTCCAACCTTGAATATTCTGTGATTCTGTGAATGTTGCTGAGGAAGAAGCTGCAGAGCACGAGAGCTGCGGGAACCAAGATTGTGCCCTCATTCTATTGTCCTTTTCACAGAATCACAGAATCACAGAATCACAGAATCATAGAATAGTTAAAGTTGGAAGGGACCTCTAGAGATCATCTAGTCCAACCCTCCTGCTCCAGCAGAGTATGAGTCTGGGACACAAACCTTAAGCTTATGCACAGTCTTTGGATTGTGTTGTAGTTAAATAGTGCCCTCTTCAGTTAAACCCTTTGCTTGCACAAATGAGTCTTAACTGTTTTTCCTCAATCATCTTGTGATCTTTAAACCCTATGTACTTGTTTACTTTCTTTTAGGCATTTAAAGCAGACACAAGCAGCATCCCTGCAATCAAGAAATTTCTAGAGCCAGGAAGCCAGAGAAAAACTGTTYCTGATGGGGGGACTGTGAGAAGAGTTCTCCGGATGTACTGATGTGCAAGCAAGTCAACATGCCTGCCTAAAACTCTGCTTGGCTAGAGAAACTCATATAAGTGTAGGAAAATGGAAGTTGCTTTTAAAAGAAGTGGGAGGAATATCCTTCTCTTTTCAGGTCTGTTGGGCATTGATAATATGCCAGAATTGTCTGTATTATGTCTTCATATCTCAGAAAAAAACTTAATTAAGGAAAAAGTACAGAATCTGACTGAGAAATATCATTGCT